ACATTTCTTTAATTCAACTTCTGCCAGAGGTGGTCCATGGAAGGGGACCTGATTTCAAAGGAAAATTCTGGGAGCCCAGGAGTAGTAGAGGGATTAATGTGGATGGCAGTAGAAAATAAAGACAGTGCTCTGGCTGGCCTGTAATAGGTACACATGAAGGGAATGGAATGGAAAGATGGATGTATGGGTGTGGGTATTGTGCAAACGCAAGAAATAACAGCCCTAGGAAGTCTGTGGGCCTTTTATTACTTGAGAATGACAGATTATAACATCCTTCATTTATAGTAGAAGATCATCCCTTGGTAAAATATTTACAGAGGAGCTCTGGTGGTGTAGTGCCTAAGGCATTTGACTGCTAGCCAGAAGGTTGGCAGTTCAAACCCACCAGCCACTCTGCGGAAGGAAGATGGGGCCATCTACGTCTGTAAAGATTTACCACCTTGGAAACCCAAGGGAGGTCTCTATGCGTGTACTTAGGAGTCTTGGGTGGTGCAAGGAGTCCCTGGATGGCATAAATAGTCAAGCATGCATGTGCTAATTGAAAGGTTGGAAGTTCGAGTTCACCCAGAGGCACCTCAGAAGAAAGGCCTGGTGATCTGCTTTCAGTAGGTCCCGGTCATGAAAACCCTATGGAGCACAGTTATACTTTGCAACACGTGGAGTCTCCATGAGTCAGAATCAACTCCACAGCAGCTGTTTTTTTTGCATGTTCTTAGTTACTACTAGAGTATCTTAGTTATGATGTGATCATTTGTGGCTTCATCCAGGAAGGACACTTAGGATGCAGTGACTTGAGATTCAGTTTGCTTTTGTATCTCAAAACATCATTTGGAACTTTTTTGTATTATGTTAGTATTTGCTGGCCTTGGCTGAAAGCACTGGGAAGATCAAAGAGTAGATACAAAGAGGTAATAGTTGGTTTTCAAGTTTGAAACCAGGCAGCGTCAGATCATTGTGAATCACCTGTTGGTTTGGGAGGCTTCACCTTGATTGGAGATGTCAGTATACAAACACATCAACTGATCCCAGCACTAAGGCAGGAGAATACAAGACTTGTAAAATTCATGACCTCATGAGATCTCCCATAACATGTGATCGCAGAGTACTTCATCTTTCAGTGGTGTCACTGGGGTTGGTGTCATCGCTAGAGCTGGTGTCGTTCAGTGCAGTAACTCATGGTGTCACCCTTCCAGCCCATGGACCTCCTCCCATGCCAGACCATACAGATCCTTAGTAATATTTATTATCAACTTTAATTATAGAATAATATGTGATATAGTTGTAAATTGCTTAAATGTAATGTTTCTTAGATTATATGAATACTAACTAAATTACATTGTAAAATCTTTCTACATCAAATTACATTATTAATTACATTATTAGTAACTGAGCAGAAGCCTTTTTTGATTACTGTCATTCTTTCCTTTAATTACTACTTCATTTTCATAAAAGTTACTGATAGAGGTTCACAAATACTAATTACCACAATATTGTAGCTAAAACACCAGAAAATTTAACAAAATCAGTGATTATGAAAACACTGGCACCAACCAAAACAGTGTATGCTATAGCTGGTACAGATGAAACCACGTGACTCCAACCATCACTGTAATTGGGTAATAATGACAGTTCTGACTGGAGTGCATTAGAAAGTTCAAAAAGTAAATTAGCATAGAATTTTAGCCTTGTAGATACATTGTAAACTGGACTTACAAAAACTTTTTTGTTGCTATAACTGCTGGGATATTTTTATTAAAAATAATAAATTTCTGTTGAAACACTGCACCAAAGTTTTATAGACAGTCATTTTGGTGTCATCCCCTCTGACAGTGTCATTTGGTGCAGTCTGCACTTCCACATCCCCTTGTAATGCCACTGTCACCTTTCATGTGTAGAGAGAGAGAATCAAAATAATAAAACTGCCAAGAAGCTCAACTCATTTATTTATTAAACATTGTATTTTGCTTTGGATATTATATATAGCATTTCTGTAGTTATTATCTTATTTTAATATTATCTACAGCTTATACATATGCTTGTATTTTTCAAAATTGCAACATACTGTCATCAGATAACCTTATCCTCAAGACAATATAGCTGAATATATAAAGCTTTAGTATAGACTGTTAGTTATTTTAACAAATTATATACCAGGCATGGTTAGACCTTTTCCATACCTGAAATTATTTTATGTCTTAGCAGGTTGTATTACTTAGAGAACTTGCCTATTTGATATTAGTTTACTGAAAATATGCAAGGCAATATTTAATGTTTTATCTTAAAGGAATCCTAAGGAATATTTGCTCAGTCTCCCTGAAGAACAGGTCAAACAGTGGGAGCCCACAAAGGTTTAGGGACTGGCACAGGGTCACACAGCAGCCAGTGCCAGAGCCTAGATGAGCTGTGGCTGGTGATGCCTGTCCAGGTTCTTGGTTTATCCACTCATTTCTGTAAATGAATAGCATTAAGAATTGTCTTTCTGGTCAGATCATGATTCCTGAAGACACAAAGCATTCTCTGTTGTCTCTAAAGGGTTCATGAAATTTTCACAGAAGAAATATAGTTACTTAAATTTAATTTCTTGTTTTTAAAATTTAATTAATATTAAAGCACACATAACAGCAGCTTGAGGAGGAAGTCACGTATTAGGGTAACCTTACAAATACCATAAATCACTGATCTCAGAGTAGTTAATAATTAAATATGTACGTGTGTGTGTGTGTATGTGTGTATGTATGTACACCCCCTCCTCATGGCCATTCTGAGAGAATTCAGGATGCCTATCTGGATTAAAGTCTCAGGCAAGAGATTTAAAATAGTAACAATAGTAATAAGAAGACACATTAGTTCCACTTCTATGTTCTTTATTTCCTTCAGCTTTTGTTCCCATTGTAGCTCTGTGAATTCTGGCACTAAATTGTACCTATAATCCTTTTGTCACGTAGGATCCATGCAAAGGGTATGTTAGTGAGAGTGTGGTCAGTGCAAATGGTAGAAGCTAATATTTTTTCCGTCTGTATCTTTGGCTGCTCTTAAAATGCTGGAACAAGTGCTTTAAATCTGCTTTTTTTTTTTTTTTTTTTAATGTGTTCTTTTTGGACTATGGGCACGTAGCAAAAAAGTTTGTACAGTTTTAGTTCTTTAGCCTAAAATATACAATATGTAAAGATAAACTAAAATGCATTCCCATATCCTGATATTATTTATATTATCTTCAAAATACTGTATCTGAGCTCAGTTTTTCTTTTCCTCGTTTCCCTCAAGCCCTTTCTAGCAGTATGTGCCTCCACACCCATCACAGGAAGTTCAACTTTTAGTCTCGCTGAGACTAATGGAGTTGGGCTCATGTATGAAAGGCGTTCTGTCCAGAATTGAGTGAGCAACCCTGAATTTATGTCTGATTTTCTATGGTGAATAAACTAAATTTTTGTGGTTAAAGAATTTCCCTATATCTTCACTTCATCCTAGAAAAAAAGACAGAAAGCATAGGTTACCTAATAACAGTTTCACATTCAGAGCATTTTTTTCTTTTTTGGCAACCAAACCAATCAAAGGGTAGTATTGAACTGGATTCAGAAACACCGAATCTCTCAGCCTTGGTCCTCTCAGGCTTCTCATACCTACCCTGACTCATAGCCCACTGCCACGTCCTAGCCTCAGGCACGTGGTGCTGGTGGCTGGGGCACTGTTGAAGGAGGCCAAGGTCATTCAGCTGCAGTATGAGCCTTGGCTTCATTCCCTGAGCCCAGACTTTACCTCTGAACCAGGCAGCCACGCTGCAGGGGCATGACTTTGTCCAGGGCAGCAGGGTGGGGTCTGGTGATTTGGTTTGACATCAGTTCCCTGCTCTAAGCACTTGTGCTTTGGAGGATGGCTGAGGGACACTGTCTCCCCTTGAAGCAGTAAGCTTGTCATTGGTCATTCCTTCTTTTAGCCTCTGTATACACCCTCTCAAATCACTCACATTTCCTTCTGAGGGATCTCTTTTCCCCTTTAAACCGGTTACAATTGAGTCGACCTGGGCTCATGGCAACCCTATTTGTACCAGAGTAGAACTGTGGTCCGTAGAGTTTTCAGTGGCTGATTTTTCAGAAGTAGATCTCCAGGCTTTTCTTCTGAGGCGCCTCTGGACAGACTTGAACCTCAGCCTTTGAGTTAGCAGCCAAGCATGTTAATGTTTGCACCACCCATGGAACCCACCCTCCCTCCTCTAGGATTTGGGAATAATAAAACTGGAGAGGGCAGTGGTGAACTATAGAGAAAGATGTCTATGTGGTTTGACAGGAATGGGACCAAGGTACCCTGAAGTCCCTGAGGGTAGTGTACACCTAGGACAGTAACCAGCAAACTGACTCTGCACAGGGCCTCCCTTTCTTCTCCCAGAGACACTGGACAGGAGCCTGCTTCATCTGCTGAGCCCAAGCCAGAGCCACGGGCCTTAACCTCTGAAGCAGGGATAGGAATTGTCATAAGGAGACACAGGAGAAAGCATAGACCTGCAGGAGAAGACAAGCTTTAGGTCCCCAGGGCTGCCAAGCTTTGTGAATCCCCGCAGTCACTTCCAGAGGGGGATGTACCTGAGGCCCTGTTGTCATCCTCGACCCCTTTCTCCCTCCCTGATCTCCAGGGTGTGTACCAGATTGCTTTTCCTTTCTCTGTTGATGGACAAAATATAGATGTACAATGGTTCTTCCTTGGATGTCCTTTTTTTTTAATAAAATTTTTTTTTGTTAGTGATAGATTTTTATTTCCTTCGTTATTTTAAATGTGTTTCCCTGTTGCAGGCCAATCTTCCAGCACAACCACATTCAGTTTAATCACAAAGTGAAAGTATCTTCTCATCTCTATTGCTACAGCCTACTTTGGCTGGTAGTCCAGCAGGCCACCTCATTTTTGATCTTTCTTCCAGTGTTGTGTCCATGAGTGTTGGTCTCTGGACTTCTCTGTGCCTCATCAAACAAAAGTGGAATAACTAACATGCTTCATTTCCTCCCAACTAGCTGCCACAAGCTCCGGACGCGGAGAACTCCACAGAGGTGTGTCACTCACCTGTATTTGCAGGGCTGGCAAATATAGGTGCTTCTAAGTTGTCCTGGTTGAGTGTCTTAACTGTTGTGGTGAAATGTCTTTCCTGGTAGTGTGTGTAGGAGGGAGTTCTCTAGTCAGGATGGAGACTGATCATTACTGTCCTGAACAGCTGGAGCTCAACAAAAGAATCCCTTTAAATAAAAATTTAGGAGCTCTGGTGGCATAGTGCCTCAGGCATTTGACTGCTAAACAGAAGGCTGGCAGTTCAAACCCACCAGCCACTCCTTGGAAGGGAAGATTGGGCAATCTACTTCCATAGAGATAGCACTTTAAAAACCCAAGGATGTGTCACTGAGTCAGATCTCACTCGACGGCAGTGAGTATGAGAGTTTCAAATGAAAGCTTGCAAAGCTTTCATGCAAAATTTCTTGTCTCAGTCTTGAATTGTTCAGTTGATAAATTCTGGAATGTTAAGACCTTTCTAGTTCAGTGGTAGAATTCTTGCCTTTCATGTATGAGACCCAGATTTGATTACTGGCTGATACATTTCATGCATTGCCACCACCTATATTTATCAGTGGTGGTTTGCGTGTTGCTGTGATGCTAAACAGGTTTCAGCAGAGCTTCCAGACTAAGACAGACTAGGAAGAAAGGCCTGGACATCAACTTCCAAAAATCAGCCAGTGAGAACTCTATGGATCACAGCAGTCTGATCTGCAACTGGTCATGGGGTGACAGGACTAGGCAGCGTTTAGTGCTGTTGTGCATGAGGCTGACTCACCAGCAGCTAACAACAAGAAGACAAGGTCTGTAATTTCACAAGATAAATCTAGGTCTTGTGCAGAGAGGACATAATTTTGAAATTTTGGATACTAATTTACAGTTTTTGGGAAGGCTGCTAACGAAGTTGTAGTTTTACGACACGCTCTTTCTCTTCTTCCTGTCACTAACCAAACTTGCTAAATGAGAGACTAGAATTTATAAGGCATATAGAGTATAGAGATGCTTGTTAGAAATCTAAAAAGCAAAATTTAGGGATCTAGCAGAGTTTCAGTGTGAGTGTTTTATAATGATCAGTCTCTGATACAACCACAGCTCTTCATTGTTAGCAGTTGTGATTAGAATGCGGGTGGTCTGGGGGGGCATGGTGGCCCCGTGTATATGTCTGCTCAGAAGTGAATGTATTGATGTCCTTCCGCATGTGCTGCACAGTAATGCATGTGTGATGCATAAGAATCTGCTGGGGTGAATCTTGTAATATAACCCCTTTTGGGTTAAAGTAAGAGTGTATGGAACTTCCTTCTCATTATCTTTGCAAAAAGTCATATGCCTGCTCATTTTAAATAGAACATCAGGGGAGGGGGAAGGGAACAATTATTAATCACTATCTAAAGAAAATGAGGAGTCCCTGGGTGGTACAAGTGATAAACATATTCGGCTGCTCACCAAAAGGTTGGCAGTTCAAGTCCACCCAGAGGTGCCTCAGTAGAAAGGCCTGGCAATCTAGATCTGAAAAAGCAGGCATTGAAAATGCTATGGAGCACAAATCTGCTGTGACATACATAGGGTCACTATGAATCAAAGTTGACTTGCTGGCAACTAGTTTTGGTGTTAAAGAAATTCAACACTAGTATTTGTCTGGAAAACAAAAACCAAAAGGCCTGTACTTCTTTAGTGTAACTCATTGCTGTGTACTAGCTCTCAGTGTATTTTACTTGTGACTGATGCTGAAGATGGCAGTATCTCCTTAGTGTCATACTTAAAATGGAATTTCTACATGCTTAGCAGGAGCTTGAACCAAGTCCGCCACTGAGGCAACTGGAAGACCATAAAAGGGTATGTAGTCTCGATTGTTGGGGGTTAATGATCTTGACACCTCCCTCAGCCACCCACTATGATTTCAAGATTGCTTTTTTGGACATTGTTGATGATATTGTTAAAGCATAGCTCAGGACCAGTCACAGCCTTTTATATAAATGAAACTGGCTGGAAATTCCACTTGTTATTTACCTGATCAAAAAACTATGCCTAGCTCATCACCACATAATGACCAGTGACACTTTTCATGTCCTCTCTTTTTGTCTGTGGTGGCTTTCTATTTCTGCAAATCAAAGGGGAAAAAAAAATCTGTAAGTAACTGATGATCATCTTAGATAATTTATAAAGTATAATGAAAAGAAAATTCCCAATTACACTACCCAGCTATAAATGTTGCTAACGTTTTATTATTTCCTTCTACCCACTTTTCTACACATGCTCATGTGCCAGCAAACATACATTCATTCTTTGTTACTGGGATTATGCTAAGTATACAGCTTTTATACCCTGCTTTTTTTCATTTAATGTATCTGAGCATTTTGTTTTAAACTCTCTGAAAGTTAACAGCTGCCTAAAGTTCCATAAGTTAGCTAGCAGTTCGTAATTTTTTCCTTTGACAAGGAAATGAACAAACGTGTGTCTTTGGATAGATTCCTAGAAGGGGAATTCCTAGGCCGAAGGGTAGGTACTTTCTTAAAGTGCTGATTATGCATTGCTAAACCATTTTCTAAAAAGGTTACATACATACATCTGCGTACTGACCAACACTGATTTCCATGTTACCTATTTTTGGAAGATAAGCAGATGCCCTGATTTTCTGAGAGTTTCTCATATGCCAGTTACTGTGCTAAGACTTTTATATATGTAAACTCATCAATTATTAATTGATTAATTATTTTTAATGCATGGACTTTGTCCCCATTCCACAGATTAAGAAACTGAGACTTGAAGTTTAAGCCTTACCCAAGGTTACATGGTTAGAAAACCAACAGTTATTGTGAAAACTGCCTTAGAATTGTGGTCGTCAATGACCTGGAGAATTTACACCTGAGACAAATGTGTATCCTGGGGTACCTGTCCTCTGTACCCTGTCCATACCACCATGTCCCAAATCCTTCCTATTCTCTTGCTCTGGTGGTAAAATAAACATTGTAACTTCTCAAATTACATCCAGAGCACAGCTCCCAGGAAGGAGGTAGGTAGGCAGGCAGAATTCAGGGCATGGCACCCGTGCCCTTCCAAGCCACATCTTATAGCTCCTGCAGTTCAATGACCAAGGTCACCTTACATTCATGTGTTTTCCACCCTTGACTACCCTTTAAGAATTATCCTAGGCCTTAGAAGAAGCTGGTAAAGGGATATAGCTATCCCTCATGCCCTGTGTTCTTACGGCATTGATGCTCAGCTTTGGAATTAGAAACGGATTTAAGTCTTCATTTGCCAGGCACTGTATGATCTGGGGCAAGTTATTTAACCTCTCCAAGCCTCAGTCTCCTTTGCTGCAAAATGGGAATGCTAACAGTACCCATTCCCTAGGGCTGTTGTACTGAGATGTGCCAGTAAAGAACTTAACATAGTGGCTGGGACATTAGCTATTCTTTGTAGTTACCTTACAGTTTGAAACATTTAAGTGATGTCAGTACACAACTGGAGTAGGAAAAGGAAAGTATTTTTAAACTGAGGTGTTACCTTAGTGCTGACTAAAGTGTAAGAGGCTCACCACTCATGGGTGAGCGTGATCTTTCCTGAAGCACATGATTTTTACGTGGCTAGAACCTGGGAAACCAAAAGGTCACTATCCTTCTCTTCCTGTGTGGCAATATTCACTCCGGTGCCTTGTTCAGTACTTGGCTCTATTCCCACACAGCTCATTAGCCACTCCTTACAAACAAATGAAACATTTGTTAGCAGAGTTGCAAGTTGGGAGCTTGGTTTCATTACTCTGCAGCATTGATCTACCAATTTTCACTGTTTTAATATGACACTTATAATCGGAACTCTCCTTGACTTTTCCTTTTCTAGGTCGTAGGTAATAATGTGTGTAGGATTTCTTGCTGGAGACAAACATCTGATATTTGTTTGCATCCTGTAGGTGTAAACTGCTGAAGAAAAGTTAGTATTATTTTGAAAAAGGGTTCCACAGCCAAATCTTAAAGCTGAAGCAGCAATGTGATTTGGGAAGTCGTTTTTTTTTTTTTTTTTCTTTGCAATCAAATTTCTCCGGCTGACATTGTGAACAGTTTAGTGCTGTTGAGTAATTTATGTCAAGATGATTAGGAAGGCTTTTCTTTACAGATTTTAATTTTTCCTAAATTAAACCACTGACTCTGGCAGACAGAATTTTCCTTGAACCAAAGTTTTCATACTAGGGATCTGTATAACTTTTAATAGAGGTTATTATCCACTTTTTCTTTTTCCTTTCATCTAATATTCTCAATCTTTATTCTTTCATAAGGGAACAAATCTCATTTGTATTTTCTTTTTGGGAAAAAAAAGAACAAATCCCATTTGCTCTCTGTTGTGTTTTGTTTTTGTTTTTCTTGTAGTTTATTTTATTTTTTTATCAGTAGAGATAAGGTGAGGTAACTATGTGCCAAGATCTTATAATTAAGAGTAAGAAAAATAAGTTTGATGGATGGAATGTATTTGTGTATTTTGTGTGTGTGGGGGGATTGTCGTCGTTTTCCCTATAATGAGCACATTTCATGATATTCTCTTATGGGGGAAAATGTACCATTTGATGCATCCGTTGCTATGGTAACTGATAGAGTGTTTCTGTTGAAGGAAAGGCAAAATGATAATGTGAGATCCCTTTGTAACTTCACTTTGGCATCCAGGCTGCATAAATGTGAAATTCCTCTTCCTGGAGCCCACGTGCTCGCTGGTGGTGTGTGTTCCTTTCTTTACCCCCTGTTTGCTTGATTGCAAATTGCCCAGGCTTTTGCTGTTTACCCTCCAAACCACTAGGAAAAAAAAAAAAAAACATAACCACCAGGAGCCAAAATCTAACTGAGCAGTCCAGCCCTGAATAGAATTGTGGTGCAAAAGCTGCAGTTGAGACCAATTAAGGTCATAATAACTGCCTTTGACTTGAACATCCAACCCCAGCATCTCCCACATTCTTTTGCACTGGCTAGTTTGCCTGTCTTTGTGGCTGTAGCTCAGTTTCAACCCGACCATCCATCTCTCAACAGTGGTCTTATGGTGGTGCCAAGGGGGACCCAGTCAGAGAATTAGGAAGGTTTACTGCCAACCATTCCTGCTGTTGGAACTCAGAGTCTGTATCTTATTGAAAGTAAATTAAATAGGTGCCTCATATTTTGAAAAAGGAAATCAGGTCCCTGAGTGGACACAAACGGTTTGTGGTCCACTACTAACCTAAAGGTTGGAAGTTTTAACTCACCCAGCAGTGCAGAATAAAGGCCTGACAATCTGCTTCTATAGAGATTACAGCCAAGAAAACCCTGTGGAGCTCAGTTCTGCTCTGTTACACATACAGTCACTGTGAGTTGGAGTCTACACAATGGCCACTGGTGGCTTTGTTTTTTGTTTTCTTTTTTTAATTCAACATGGAGTTACTCCTCCCATCACTACCACCTTTTTTTTCTCACTACAGTTTCTTGAAAATTCCTTTGAAATTTCTATTTCTCTTATGAAGCCAGCCTCTTAAATCATCATGTTCCCAGTGACTTCTATGGAGGGTGGAGTGATGATGTGTTTGTGCTGGTTCCTGAGACACAAACACCAATAAAGCTCTATCTTTATACTTAAGTGTGGGATTCTGAGCCATTAAGGAATATTGTACTGAAAATTTTTCCCCACCTACAAGCAGTTTATATAAAAAGTACTCAAAACATTACAAGTAACTTTGCCATTTGAAGCACTGTTGGAAATTTGAATTTACAGTTGATTGAGGTGGGAAATGAGTTTCGTAAACTGATACAAGTGCCCTCCTTTGCTGAGCTATGATGAGAGATGAATTTATGGATGGAATGGAAAATTGATAAATTTTTTTGTTTGTTTGCTGAACTTCCATTTGAAAATCAGTCCATCCTTCCCTCCCTCTTCCCTGCTTTGTTATTGTTGTTAGGTGTCATTGAGTCAGTTCCCACTTACAGCGATCTAACGTACATCATAATGAAACACTGCCTGGTCTTTCAGCATCCTCACAGTCTTTGCTGTGGTTGAGCACATCATTGCAGCCACTGTGTTGAGGCTGCAGTGTTGTTGCATCTTGTTGAGGGTCTTCCTCTTTTTTGCTAATCCTCTACTTTACCAAGTTTGATACTGTTCTTCAGGGAATGGTCCCTTCTGAAAACATGGCAAAGTAGGTGAGACAAAGTCTGGCCATTCTTGCTTCTAAGGAGCAGTCCTGCTGCGCTGTTTCTAAGACAGATTTGTTCATTCTTCTGGCAGTCCGTGGTATTTTCAGTATTCTTTGCCAACACCCCAATTCAAATGCATCAATTCTTCTTCAGTCTTCCTTATTCATCATCCAGCTTTCACATATACATGAGGCGATTGAAAATACCATGGCTTGGGTCAGGCCCACTTTAGTCTTTAAAGTGACATCTTTGCTCTTTAGCACTTTAAAGAGGTCTTTTGCAGCAGATTTGCCCTGTATGATATGTCTGATTTCTTACTACTGCTTCCATGGGTGTTGATTGTGGATCCAAGTAAAATGAAATCCCTGACAACTTCAGTCTTTTCTCTGTTTATTGTGATGTTGCTTACTGATCCAGTTGTGAGGATTTTTGTTTTCTTTATATTGAGGTGTAAACCATTCTGAAGGCTATAGTCTTTGAGCTTCATTGGTAAGTGCATCAAGTCTTCCTCACTTTCTGCAAGCAAGGTTGTGTCATCTGCATGTTACAGGTTGTTAATGTGTTTTGCTCCAATCCTGAAGTCACTTTCTTCTTCATATCGTGAAACTTCTTGCATTATTTGCTCACAAGTATAGTGAAAGGATACAACCCTGACACACACCTTTCCTGATTTCAAACCATGCAGTATCCCCTTTTTGTGCACAGACGGCCATGCAGTTTTCCCTTGTAGTGTTCAAATCTGTACATAGCCTCTTGTTCTGTGTACTGATTTCTCATGAACACAATTAAGTGTTCCAGAAATCCCATTCTTCACAATGTTATCCATAATTTGTTATGATCCACACAGTTGAATGCCTTTGCATAGTCAATAAAACACGGGTAAACATCTTTCTGGTATTCTTTGCTTTCAGCAAATATACATCTGACATGAGAAATGATACCTCTCATTCCACGCACTCTTCTGAATCCAGCTTAAATTTCCATCAGTTCACTGTCAATATACTGCTGCAACTATTTTTGAATTATCATTGCAAAATTTTACTTGCGCATGATATTAATGCTGTTGTCCAATAATTTATGCATTCTGTTGGATCACCTTTCTTTTGAATGGGAACAAATATGGATCTCTTCCAATCAGTTGGCCAAGTAACTGTCTTCCAAATTTCTTGGCATAAACAAGTGAGCACCTCCAGAGCTGTATCGATTTGTTGAAACATCTCAGTAGGTGTTCTGTTGATTCCTGGGGCCTTGTTTTTCATCAATCCCTTCCGTGCAGCTTGGACTTCTTCCTTCAGTACCATCGGTTCTTGATCATATGCTACCTCCTGAAAAAGGTGAACGTCAACTGATTCTTTTTGGTACAGTGAGTTTGTATATTCCTTCCATTTTCTTTTAATGCTTCCTGTATCATTCAGTATTTTGCCCATAGAATCCTTCAATACTGCAAATGAAGTTTGATTTTTTTCCCTTCAGTTCTTTCAGCTTGAGAAATTCCTCCTTCCATATTATTTAACCCAGACATAAGATCATTTTACTTGTGATGCTTATTTTTTCATTGACATATCTGCCACTGATTCATTTACTTTAGCACTATTTTTTATTTTTAAATATTTGGCCCATTGACTATTTCACTAAGAAAAGATTACTTCCAGCATTATACTTTATTACTCTGTTATCCTCATATCTCACCTGCTTACCCCATCCCCCTTTCCCCTTGGGGTCTTTGGTGAGCAGCAAGAATTAGCAAAGTAGATAAACTTGGCAGTATAGCCCTGGAACTTCACATGATTTTGACAGTGGACTTGAGGTTCTTCTCACTGAGTTTTCTGCCCTTTTCCTTTCTTCTCTGGTCCCCTGTCCCCCTCAGTTTCTCTCCTGCCTCCCCACCACTCTCTAGGCACCCTCCACCTGTCTGCCCCTGCTTATCTTATATTGGCAAACACCTCACTTGAAGTCTCCAGACTATTCTGGGAGCTTATTAACAAATCACCTCAGATTCTCCTGACTCATGTTACAGTTGCCGGGCTCTTCAGAAGGACTCGGGAGTCTCTATTTTAGAGACCTGCTATATTTCAGCACCTCTTGTCTCTGCTAGACTTCTCACTTACCTCTCTTGATAATGCATCAGAGGAACTCCAGGCTTCACTGTTTTGTCCCTGGGAAATAGGCCGGTGGAAATTCATGAGGCCTTTGACTTTTACAGCCTTTGACTATAGTCTGACTTACAGCCTGGGAAGACTCCCTAGGTGATGCAAATGATTAATGCACACGCTGCTAACTGTGAAGGTTGGTGGCTCAAGGCCACCCAGAGGTGCAGCAAAAGAAAGTCCTAGTGATCTACATCTGAAAAATTAGCCATTGAAAATCCTATGAAGTGAAGTGGTACTCTGATACACACGGGGCCACCATGAGTTGGAATCAACTCGATAGCACATGATTATAGACTGGTAGGTGGTCTGGGTGTCCAGTAGGAACATGGCAGAAAGAGCTGAGAATAAATCTTCCATCTACGTGCTACCTTGTCATTGACTCCTAGGATTAGTGAGAAAATTAGCCTTTTATTTATTTTTTTCAATTAAATTTGTGGGGAATTGTTATTACATCTACTATCAGGAAGGGTCGCTGTGAGTCAGATCCAACTTGACAGCAGTGAGTTTGGTTTGGTTTTTTGGTATTTTTGATAAGAAGCTCTGGAAGTGTAGTGCCTAAAGCATTTCACTGTTAACCAGAAGGTTGGTAGTTCAAACCCACCAGCTGCTCTGCAGAAGGAAGATGGGGCAATCTACTTCCATAAGATTTACTGCCTTGGAAACCCCGTGGGGGTCACTATGAGTCAGAGTTGACTCAATGGCAGTGAGTTTGAATTTTGAGTTTGATGCCTTTGATGCTTTTTTTCTTTACACTTTTTTTTTCTAATTAAAGCAAAGTTCAAATGCATACAAAAGGAGTCAAAAAAGTTTTGAGAACTGTCTCCTGTAACCCAGCTTCAACAACTATAAATCATACCCAGTCTTGTCCCATTTATACCCCTACCCACTTCTCCTCCTTCCATATTATTTCAAATAAAATACCAGACATAATATCCTTTCATTTGTGATGCTTGTTTTTTGATTAATGTATCTGCTGCTGATTCATTTCCTATAGCACTTTTTTTGTTTTTTAAACATTTGGCCCATTGATATTTTCTGTAAGCAAGGGTTACTTCCAGCATTATACTCTTTTACTCTGATATCTTAATATTTTCTTAAGATCTTGAGAATAAATACCTGGAGTAACTTTTTGTTGTCATTGCTGTATAGAAGCTGACCTATAAAATTTTCAATTTCTCTGAATTTTTTTGGCTTACCCCATAGGGATTTTTGTTTTATTTTGTTTTTGTTATTGTTGCCCTTCAAAATGACAGTTCTATCTTTATCTGTATGAGAGAGTACTTCATAGATGCAATATTCAAGAATTGCTGCTTTAAGAAAATAAAATATGATCTGGTTCTCTGAGAAAATATTGAAGAAGTTAACTTCAGAGTTTCCAAATGCTTTTATTAATAATTTATCTTTTTTTCCCTGAGTGAAACTGGGCCAATTATAACCGAGTACCCCTGAGGGTTTTTTTATTTTTTAAAATGTTGGCTGCTCAGTTATACATTAAATTCAAAACCTGATTTCACTATCCTGTTTGAATTAAGGGTGAGGCGCTCAGGCAAATTTTGGTCAACCGTTACTATGGAAACATCAGACCTTCAGGAAGAAGAGAGAGCCTTACCAGCTTTGGCAATGGCCCGCTGTCACCAGGAGGATCCAGCAAACCTGGGGGAGGAGGTAGGCTGTGTGGTGTGCTGATAAGCTGCATGTGTGAGTTGAGTATGTCACATGAGCATTGCATGTTTCTGCAGAACAGGTTGAAACTCTTTTAACAGATAAATTTGGGTTGCAGGTATAATTTTAGCAGCTTGTTTTGTCTTTGGACTGCCGTCAAATTGACATCTAAAAATATTTTCCTATAAAATAACATTTCCCTGCAATTAGATACTGGCTAAATCTTTTACCCCTCTTTCCCATGCAATGACCCTTTTGGTGGTATTTGAATGAACTTGATTTTATTCATATTTTCCTGTGGTCATTAGGACTGTTGTCTTCTCTTAAGATGGCAATGATATTGGCAGTGAGAATGGTGAAAAACTACCATTTATTATGTACTTACTGGGTGCCAAGTGCTTTCTTAAGTGCCAAAGGTTTACATCCTTTATCTCATTTTTTCTTCCACGTTACCCATTTTATGGTAGGTACTGTTCTTATCCCAGGGACTCTCTGGGTGGTGCAAATAGTTAGCCTGCTCAGCTGCTAACTAAAAGGTTGGAAGTTCAAGTCTGTCCAGAGACACCGTGAAAAAAAGTCTGGCCCTGGTGATCGATTTCTGAAAAACCAGCCCCTAATCCCAAGGAGCACAGTTCTTTTCTGACATACAGAGTCACCATGAGTCAGAATTGACTCAATGGCAATTGGTTTTTATTGTGATCTCAGTTTAATCGAGGAAACTTGTTAGTGCCTGGTCTGTGATTTGACCCTCTTATGTATAATTCCAAAGACCCTGCTATGTGCCACCCCAGTCTTGTAGGGAGTTTACTAAAAAAAAAAAAAAAAAACCCTTGTACAGAGTGCTAAAATAGATCTTTAAAGGTGTTCCTTTGTACACAATTGTTGTTGTTGTTGTTATGTGCCGTCGAGTCAGACCCGACTCATAGCGACCCCTCCTTGGGTTTCCGAGGCAGTATCACTACGGAAGTAGATTGCCCCATCTTCCTTCTGAGAAGTGGTTATACACAATTACAGGTAAAAAAAATTGCAAAAATGTTTAACTCCTCTGTGGGTCTTACATGTTGTTGTTGTTGTTGTTTGCCATCGAGTCGGCCCCGACTCATAGCGACCCCTCCTTGGGTTTCTGAGGTAGTATCACTGTGGGTCTGTGGGTCTCATGTAGTTTAGGTTTTAAGGTGGGCCAGTGGACAGCCTCAGTGAGCTCAGGGCTCACAGCCCACATGTGAGTTGCCTAATTCCCTATTTTATAATAATGATGACAGTTGGGAAGCTTCAGAACCTCAGTGGGTTCTGTGGGTAGCACAAAAATACTGAGTTAGTATTCAATAAACTTGTCCTAGTAACTTCTAGGGAAGGATCTTGGATTTATCAGCAGATAACTTTCAGTGTAGTTGCTCAGTTTGTGAAACTGTGCAGGCCTCAATGATGATGTGGTTCTGAGAGCATCTCAGAGACAGGGCCACTGCAGCTCTCCATCCAGTGCTCGCCAGGGAGTCTTACTCAGAAGTTCCTTGCACAGATCACTCAGTGAGTATGTGAGGCCTGTGGGAGGCTTCAGGAGGGGGACTTGGAAATGCATTAAAGACCCATCCTGCTTCAGCAAGCTATAAGAGAGAAGATATGCAACCCGCTTTTCTACCTGGTGCTGTGGCTGTAAGGGCAGAGTTGAGGGTGAGCACCTAAGGGAGGTGGCATTTGAACAGAGCTGCAGGGAATGGCTGATAGATGAGTTTTCCACTTTCTGAAATTGATCAGCCCCGCTCCCCAGGTATGGGAAAGTTCTGGTTATTGCCATCAATAACACAAGCAAGTTCTTAAGTATGTAGTTTCTAAACACAGTATTCATTCCACTAAATGCCATAGGCCCTCTCTGCTTAAGAATATTCATCTTAAACTCAGTGAGGATAGGCATTTCCCATCCCCAGTTTTTACCTCCAGGTGGCACGCTCTGAGTAAATATTTGTTGAATGAATGAAAGAACAGATAAATTATGTGAAAGAATGAGTTTGGGCTAGGATGAGTTTGCGAGTTTGTTAGAAAGTCATCTACCCTTATAGACATAGGCTGTGGTTTTATAGGACTGCTCTATGGAGTGTTTAAGTTTGGTTTATCTCTTGAACTCAAATCAGTTCTTAATAATTTTGCCCCAAGCCAGTATATTTTAATGTTATGGGATGACTTTACGTCCACACTGGAAATATTTCATTCTTCTTTCATCCTCGTGAGTACATTCCATGTGGAGTTGTGACCAGGTTAGAAAATGTAATACAGGTAAAGTGCTTAATGCTTAAGCATTGGTACATAATAAGTATGCAATGAGTGTCAGCTGCTCTGATAGTGGTTAACAAAAACAACGTTCCATCTTCTAGGAGGAGGATCTGGGTCCAGCTCCATGAGCAGAGGTGAGATGAGCCTGGCTGAGGTTCAGTGCCACCTCGACAAGGAGGGAGCCTCCAATCTGGTCATTGATCTCATAATGAATGCATCCAGTGACCGAGTATTCCATGAAAGCATTCTCCTGGCCATTGCCCTTCTGGAAGGAGGCAACACCACCATACAGGTAGGAGGGCAGCATGGCCAGTGTCTTGGCAGGGTGGGCAGAGAATCTGTTCTGGGAGCCAGATAGCCAGGTGGTGCTGAGACTCTTCCAAAAAAGAATTCTCATTCTAAGAGAATAAGATTGGTGTATTACCCAAGATTCCACTGTTCTGAAAAACAAATTCTGTTGATTTCTTGTTGTAATCATCCCACCATGATTTAGACTTGGTTTCAAAATGTGAGTTACATTTGAAAACTGATGAGATAATGAGGATAGGCAAAGGAGATCAACTCAGAGTCTGGAGCATAGTAGGTACCTCAGAAATGTTTGTTGAAAGAATAATCAAATGAAGTATACTTACAGTTTTAAACGAAGATCACAGCATAACCAGAAAGGAGTCTGGACTGTGTGTGCTTCTTAGAAGATTTAATTTTAAATCTATAGACACTGCAGCTGTTGTTCACTATAAATTTCTCTGCCTTTAAACTGCAAAGTTTAGTAAAACCCAACCAGTGTGAAGTAATAAGGAACAAGCCAGGCTAAGTCAGTCAAAGATGAGTACGTGATTTTTTGTTAGCTGAGTGTGGTACATATTTAAAAATAATAACAAAAACTAGAATTCTTGGTAGCAGTCCTTAAAGAAGCTATTTTAATAATATATAAGTAACAAATGTAACTTTTATGTAGAAATAGCATTTGAAGTGATGCCTTTAAATATTTTAATAGCTCTTTCATAATGCACTCTTTGTTCTTTGTTGACTTTCTGAATAAGTGTTTTTTATGTGTATGCCAACATATAACATACATGTTATATATATATATATATATGTAATGAGATAAAATTCACATACCATAACATTTTCCTTTATTTGACTTGACATCATATTCTTGGCCTTAAATTTAAACTCAGAGTCTGCATTAATGAAGGCTTGGTTCTTTGTGTAAACTGGGAAAAAGTGTTCTTCCTGTGGGTATCTGCAGCCCTGGGCCAAGGCACCTGGCTTGGCAAGAGAAGCCCAGGTTGGATATCCGCTCCCTTACTCCTCCAGCCAGGTGTCCTATGCCTTGCACAGCCACCTGCATGGTCCTTTCTTCTCACCCTCCCGTCCCCACTTGCCCCAACACACACTTTTAAAGTTCATTGTTTTGCAGTGCATTAAGTTGAAATTGTGATAATGAGTTAGTTACCTCTGCTGATGACAAAGTCCAGTGCTTGTTTGCGTTGTCTCATGGGCACAAGAATTGTAACCTGTTGGAACTTCTGTTGGGTTCTGTCACATGGGAGTCTAACCAGGAGTTCAGATGGGTCCTATGGTCCTTCTTGGCATTATTAGGATGTTGCCAAACTACTGCTGTATTCCTGATGGCTGGACCCATGGTCTGGGACAGAAACAGCTCTGAGGCACTCCTTGCTATTGACCCACACACTTTCCTGTGGGTTTAGATCAATTGAACAAAATATTTACTGTGTATTTTCTATATATGTGGTGCTATTTGAGGGTCTGTGGGGCAATGCTTTCCAGATACTGAAATCAGTTGGTCTATGAGAATTTTCTCCAAGTATAGCCAATTGTGAAAAAGTAGTTGAATGTAGTGAGTTTTTCTTAAACCATATGTGTTCAGTTTTAATGACTATTTGACTGTTTTTTTCCTGAGATGATATATGCTTTAATTGTTTTTAAGCTCTGATCTTTTTTATTTAGGAGCTCTGGTGGTACAGTGGCTAAGTGCTTGACCACTAACTAAAAAGTTGGTAATTCGGATAGGATTCACTCCCAAGGACTGGCTCTCAGTCCAACAATAGAGAGACTTACATGCAGAACACACAGCCCAGGGCGATGCACCCACCTACTACTCTATGGAGATACACCGCCTGGAGCAATTGGTCATGGGGCGCCAGAAGGGCAGCATTCACATGGAGGGAAAGCTGGACAGACAGGAGTGCACAACTAAGAAGGGCACAGCGATGGAGGGGTCACAGGGAATGGAGAGGGGGAGAGTGGGTTAGGATTGGAGGTGGTAATCGGGGAGTGAAACCAAATATACACGAACTGTTGAATGTAAAACAAATTCTGTTCTGTAAATTTACACCCAAAGCATAATTAAAAAAAAAAAGTTGGTAATTCAAACCTACCAGCCACTCCATGGGAGAAAGATGAGGCGGTCTGCTTCTACAAAGTTTTACAGCCTTGGAAACCCTGTGGAGCAGTTCTACTCTGCACTATAGGGTTGCTATGAGTCAAAATCTGCTTGACAGCAACTGGTTTTAGGTTTTTATCTTTTATTTAATAAATTGTTAATGATAGTGGATGATATAGTTCTGTTTTCTTTCCTGAAATTCTTTATTGTCCAAATCCGACCCACTGCCATAGAGTCGATTCCAATTCATAGGGGCCCTATAGGACAGAGTAGAACTGCTCTTTAGGGTTTCCAAGGCTGTAAACCTTTGTGGAAGCAGACTGCCTCATCTCTCTCCCATGGAGCAGCTGATGGGTTCAAACTGCTGACCTTTTGGTTACCAGCTAAATGCCTTAACCATTATACCACCAAAGCTCCTTATTGTCCAAATAAAAGATTGGAAATCCCTCTCTTCCCCCTTTGTTTTGTTATTTTGAAAATCTTGACTAATTTGAGAAATCCCAGAATCCCAGAAGCTTGGTCTTCAAGACATTGATTACCTTGCAGGGTACTTATACATGTGCATAAGAAACTATCTCAAGAGTGATGTTAGTGCCATCTACGTGGACAAAATGGTATTATGGAGCCTTTAGGGAAGAAGTAATGACATCTATGTTGTTGTTGTTGTTGTTAAGTGCCGTCAAGTCATTTCCGACTCATAGCAACTCCATGCACAGCAGAACGAAACACTGCCCGATCCCGCGCCAGCCCCACAATCCCTTCTATACTTGAGCCCATCATTGCAGCCACCGTGTCAATCTATCTCGTTGAAGGCCTCCCCCTCTTTTGTTGACCCTCCACCCTATCAAGCATGACATCCTTCTCCAGGGAATGGTCCCTTCTTACAACATGACCAAAATAGGTGAGACGAAGTCTGGCCATTCTTGCTTCCAAGGAGCATTCTGGCTGCACTTCCTCCAGGACAGATCTGTTAGTTCTTTTAGCAGTCCATGGTACTTTCAGCATTCTTCGCCAGCACCACAACTCAAAAGCATCAACTCTTCTTCAGTCTTCCTTATTCATTGTCCAGCTCTCACATGCATACGAGGCGACTGGAAATATCATGGCTTGTGTCAGGCTCACCTTAGTCCTCAACATCTATGTTAGGAGTTTGTAAATGGTTTTTCGATGAAATAGGTTTTGGAGGATGAGTATGAGATTGAAAAGTGGTATTTGAGCATGGGGCGTGGGGAAGTTCAGTCATACTACATGTAGAGGAGGCACAGATGTGCAGACACAGTTGGTATGTTCAGAAAACAGGGATGAATGAGGTCCTCTAGACTAAAGAACACATGGAGTGGGAAAGATGAAAAGGGACCAACAGTGAAAGTTAGGGTTTGTTTTCAGTAGTCAGGCAGCAATCCAAGCTATGATCCAACTCGAAGCTATGATTAGGTCTTGATTCCAGTGGCATATGCCAGCTAATGTGAAAAAGCAGGGCCCAGAGCAGACAGTTCAATAATTGGTTAATCAGCAATGATTTAGGGGGGAGCTCGTGATAGTCTGAACTCAAAACACATCTCTGATGAAAGAGGTCACAGACTGGAAGAGAGTATTTTCTAGGAGGGGCACAAGGGAGCTTCTTGGGATACTGGAAATAACTCCACATCTTAGGCTTGATGGTGGTTACATAAAACCACGAGCCATGGAGTTGACTCCAACTCATGGTGACCCCATGTATGTCAGAATAGAGCTGCTCTCTATATGTTTTTCAATGGGTTGTTTTTCACAAGTATATCTTTAGTTCGTTCTTCTCAGGTGCCTCTGAGTAGACTCAGACATCCAACCTTTCAGTTAGCAGCTGAGTATGTTAACCGTTCTTACCACCCATGAACTCAGGTGGTTACATGAATGTGTGTATACTTAAAACTTAGTGATACATACACATAAAATTGCTGTGTTTTACTGTATATAAGATATATCCCAATAAAAATGAAAAAAAATCCCTGGCAGAGAATAATGGCCAGTGTGGGGGATATGGATGAGGTAAGGATCAGCTCCCTTAACTCTCGCTACCTGAGTCCATTTAGCAGCCGCAGTTAGATGTGGGAGATGTGGTCAGAGGTCCAAGGTGACTCTTGAGGCTCCGAGTCTTTGTGTGTCTTGAGACACACAAAGACCTCACTGAGGAGTAAGTTAGTGTGGAGTGGGTCCACAGGCCATGACACCACCTGTACTGAGTTAAAGTATGAAGTTCTGGCGAAATGCAGTGTTTTTCACAGCATACTCCTGATGGTGATTGCAAGCTGCACAGAAGCTGTTTTTCCTTCAAGTTCTTTATCTTGTAAAGTAATTATGAATATTAGTTTCATGTTTTCACACATTTATTACTCATATGCTCAGACTCCAGATGAAATGCCACGATGGAGTTACAGTAGTTCAGCCTCTTAGAGAGGAAAGTTGTTTTCTCTTGAGGGAGCTGGTGAACTCATGAGTGGGGTGGGCTTGGATTTCATTTCATGGCCTGGAGGCATCCCTGCCAGGGAGGAGATCACACACTGACGTGTGTCTGTCTGTCAATCTGTCTCTCTCACCTTCCTTCTGTGACCTTTCAGGACCCAGTCTAATCCATTGGAGGCCTGTTGGTCCAGGAAAATTTCATCTGGTCTAGAGTTGACTGATGTGGGCCACCTTGGCCTGGAGCTTCTCTTTCTCTGAAGAAAATGATGTGGAACTAGGATTGTTTCTGAGGCCAGTTAAGGACAGGAACCCTGTAGCCCCAGGGGGAGTGATTCACCAAGTCTCGACTGGCTTTAGAGAAGCCGGTTCAAAGTAGTCAATGACCAGCTGGAAAGTTAGTCTGAGTTGGGTTAAGACTGCAGTTGTGGCTGTTAATGATTGCT